TTTCAGAGGGATCAAAATCTGCAGATGCACCGGCGGCGCCACAAGGTGCCGTGGAAGCTGCTGAAGCGATCAGAGGCGGCGGCGGCGGTGCGGAAAAGGGTGTTTGTTTGCCCGGAGCCGAGCTGCTTACACCACAACCCTACTCATGCGTTGGGGGATTTGGTGGGAATTAAGAAGCACTTTAGGAGAAAGCACAGCAACCATAAGCAGTGGGTTTGTGAAAAATGCTCCAAAGGCTACGCTGTTCAGTCTGATTATAAGGCACATCTCAAAACCTGTGGAACCAGAGGCCATTCTTGTGACTGTGGTCGAGTTTTCTCCAGGTATATTGTATTCTTCTATTTTATTCAAAGTTACAATTTTTAAAAGAAAAATTCTAAAATTCTCTCTCTCTTCTTTCTTCTCTCTCTTGTTGATATGGCTGCGGCTGTTTTTCTTTTTTCTGACTGATATAACAAAACATTCATCATCGTAAAACCCAAGTCTTAATCAACGGATGTGGTTGCAAATTTGGCACATTTCCCGATGATCAGGTTTGGTATCCTAATTTTAATTGGTACTTGGAAAACCCGAAAAACAAGAACACATTCAATTTTTGTTTTCTTTTAGTTTCACCTAAACACTTCCGAGAATGCCGTCTTTTTCTTTTTCCAGTGGAGCTGGAACATTCATTTCATTTCCAACAGTTTTCTGTTGAATAATGTAGAGAAGAAAAGACTGTTTTTTTTTCTTTTTTTTTAAGTACTTTTTAAATTGTTTTTGAGATGGGTTGTTTTGGGTTTTTGTTTTCTGGCTTTGTTCTTCTTTCATGTCAAATGGGTTTTCAGAATTATGTTAGAAATCTGTCACTTCTTAATACATTACAAAACCCTATCAACTTCTCTCACTCGAGTTTCTCTCGAACCAGCGTACACGCATCTACTCTATAACATTCGGTTAACATTACATTATTGTATCTTTTTCAAAATGACCCAATGATGACTCGTATCGGTTCGCACTGTTTGACCGACTTGTACGAACTTCGATTAATCTTGTGTGCAATTAGCTGATGATATAGCACATTCTTTTGTTTTTTTAGGGTGGAGAGTTTCATAGAACACCAAGATGCTTGCAAATTGGGACATGGGCAACAATCAGAAGTACTTCCATGTTTGCAGCCACCAGCTTGCTTATCAAGAACAGCTTCTAGTCCCACTCCGAGCCCTTCTTCTGACACAAACTTCACATTCTTAAACCAAAACCAAAACCAAAACAAAAACCACAATCTTTCTACAACCCATCACCAAAATTTGGACCTTCAACTTTCCACCACCACCACTTCAACTTCCAACATTCATCTCTCTCTTTCTCCAAAGCAACACCAAAACAATAGCAACACCGACTTCTCCACCCATTTGCAGCTCTCCATTGGGTCTTCCACTAATTACACCACTGACAAAATTAGCAATAATAATAATTGTAATGACCAATATAATACGAGTGGTGATGAGAAAATTATGAGCACTTCTTTGGCCTTGTTGAGGCTGAAAAAGGAGGCTGGGGAGCAGCTGAGAGAGGCAATGAAGGAGAAGGCTGTGGCAGAAGAAGGGAGAAGAGAAGCAAAGAGGCAGATTGAGTTGGCTGAGAAGGAGTTGGCCAATGCCAAGAGAATGAGGCAACAGGCTCAAGCTGAGCTACAAAGGGCCCTTGCTTTGAAAGAACATGCCATCAAGAAAATCAACTCCACTATTCTCCAAATCACTTGCCAAGTTTGTAGGCAGCATTTTCATTTGCCAAAGATTTGAATTATAATGTATAATTCTCATTTTAATGAGACAAATAATTACCATTTTGTATACATGAAAAATCTCTTCTTCTTGTATCTACCTGCATCGTTATTCTCGCGGCAAAAGCAAAGAAGATTAATCATCGATAAGGGTAGAGCGAAGGAGAGAGGATGGAGAACTTCTCCTTAATTACCCCGTCTTTAGATTAAAGCAATGATATTAAAAAAGAAAAAGTGGGTTTATTGAATTACCATTTGCACATCCTGATCAAATCTCTATTGTTTTTCGTTAGGCAAAAATGAAAGTAGAAAGACAATTATCCTCCTGTACTTTTAGAAGACATCTTTGTTGGGAATTGTGATCCTCACAGACAGAAAAAAAATTGCAGTCCATCTGATAATGATTAAGATAACATTGTTTCATCAGCTCGAACCCAACCCAGAAATCCCTTAGAAGGTTGCAGGTTTTTTTTACCAATTGGGACCCTCCCTTTGCCACCCACGGGATGGTCTAAGATTATATATAAAACGATAGAATGACTACTATTTTATCTCGTTCCTATCAAAATTTCTAACTTTGTCCAGAATTATGGTAAATAAATATGCTTCTAAAGCCTTTAGTATTAACTTTTAAGAGTATAATCATCTCGTTCTCCATATCAATCCAATAAGAGAAAAATGTGTATAGTAAAAGAAAAGAAGAGTGGAGTTGCATTTATGAGATGAGAGATTACGATATGAAGTTTCTTTACAAGGAAAAAAAGTAAAGTAATTTTCCAAAAGGAGGCAGAAGATGAAGGGAGAAGGAAGAGAGAAATAAGAGTAAAGGGTAAAATTCTGTTGCAATCCACAGTAAGCATTTCGTTGGTTCGCCATTGACATTCAAAATATTCAATTGGGTCAGGTCAGAGAAAAGAGAGACGACATTCATTCTAATGATAGCTAGTATTTGATACCCTTTTCTTTTTTTTCTTTTGGGTTTTGAAAGTTTCTATTTGGGCTAAATATAAGGGAGATTTTGGATGGCGAAGTCATGTCATGAAATGATGTCTCTTCACAGCATTAAAGAATGGGTACAGAGCAGAATTAAAAACAATGCAGGCACAGAGAAGAGAGAGAGGGCTGTCCTGTGGTTACTTTACAAATAAATACAAATGGAAAAAGTGCCATGTTTTTCAGTGCCACTGTGGGATGGGTCCAAACAGACTTAATCATACACTCAGTTGTCACTCTCACACTCCCTAGAAACATACAGTCTCCAATAAACACACCCATCTTCATCTTCATCCTTCATCCTCCACATCCTTTTCAACTCTCCACATATTATAATATATATATATATGTATGCTGTCAAATCATATAAACTCATCATCTTTTTTTGTTTTCTTTTGCCATTTCGTTTTTGGGTTAATACCCACTTGCAAAAATGTGAAATTTTGTGAGCCACTCGTTGGTTCGAGAGATTTTGGAGGGAAACCAAATCCCATATTTTTGTTCAGCCCACAAATCAAAAGCTTTGTGAATGTTCCTTCATTTTTTATCTGTTAATTTCCAAATATAGTTTGGATTTAGTTTTTAACTTGTTGATAAGATCATGACACGTGAGTAGGCAACTTGAGGTGGAATCTGAGGTTGGATTGGAATATGAGGTGGGATGTCGAGGTATACTACCTACTAAACAAAATATTGTGAAGCTCGGTTATGTACACTCTAAAGTACATTCTAAAAGTTTAAGTTAGAACTAAGTTTGAATTAGTGTCCAATTGAAACTGTAGTGGTCCAATCGTCATTTTTCACTTAATGTCAACAAATTTTCTGCCAATCAAAATTTGGTCTGGTTTTTGAAACATTGTCCCTTCCTCCTCTCCGACTCAAACACACGACTTGGTGACTCAAACACACGACTTGGTGAAAGAGGGCCACATTTTATAAACATAAATCTTTCCTAGTATTATTTGCAATATATCAGAGGACTTTTAGGAAAAGTAATGTAGAATAAATAGAAACATCATTTAAGTAACTAAAATTACTAAATTATTTTATAACTAAATAAATATGATCTTAAAATTACTAGACTTATCTTATTGACAATTTCATAATATTTCATCGATAGTCAAATATAGCCATCAACATCTCCAATAACATATCAGGAAGAAGAAAAAAAAAGAAAAAAGAAAAGAAAAACATCTCCAAATATTCGATTCTCATAAGCATTATTTAAAATCTTTGAACACATTACATATAAACCTCAAATTTCAATAATTCTCAAATCAGAATTGCACCATATTACTAGATTAATTTCTGTAATGTGTACGAGGCACACCCATTTGCCATTTCTTACTGTAAAAATACAGACAAAAAACAAACCGAAGTGTAACATTGACAACAGTGAAAAAAACGGTCCATCTTTTTTTTACTTTTTTGGTTTATTTCACAGTAAGGTTAACTTTATTCCAATCCTGCTTGCAACAATTAAAAAAAAAAAGAGAGAAAAAAGATTCTCCAAACCCCAAAATCAAGGAAAGAAAGAGCTGAGAAGGGGGAATCCGAGGAGAGCTGCAACCTGTAACAAAAAGTAACATAATTTAACCTTGTTCTTTTTTCTGAATGATGATATAATCGAATAATATATTCCAATTATCCAAAGAAAAGACAGCACAAGATCAGAAATAAACACTCATACACATCACTAAGTAATGTGAAAACTAAAATATATAAGACGCAGACAGGCTTTCCAGCTTGTAAATTTGATAGAGGAACAAATCTGCAGCGCATCACATCACTTAGGACCAGCAAATTGATTCCATCAACTTGCGGCCATGAGAGACTTCGCTTTATGTCTTCTATATATAAACAAGTTTAAAATGGAGGAAAGAAAGCTGTGTTAATAATATAATCCAAGGATCATTCATTGGCATCTTAGTGTAATAAGAAAAGGGATCCATGCTATTCGTTTGTAACTTCTTCGTTTGTGACTTCTGAGTAAAGGAGAGTTATATGAATGAATGGACATCATTCATGTAAGCATGATTAAGAAAGGCTTAGAATTGATAATAACTACTTATGCCAACGAGGGTGCACATTCCTTTTCGGTGGCTTAATCCTAAAAACTTCAAAGTTAAGAAACGCTTCGAGTAATTCTAGGATTGGACGTCCTCCTAGAAAACTTTCCTCACAAGCATGTGTGAGGAAAAAAGCATCCTAAAAGGACCTAATATTGATATGTAGGAATAGTCTTCGCTTCCAAAGCAACTCAAGCCAAACAGATGGTGCAGATAGGTCGCAAAAGATGTAGAAGAATGTCGAGGCCACCAGGTGCCAGATCCGAATTCTAAATCCTGGACTTGGAGCGTTAAGGCAGTTATTTTTGGTAGCTAACTTCTATCTAAGATCACTGACTGAGTTTGACAATTAGATTTCTGAAGAAAAAGAAAAGATAAACTCACTCTTCTAAGAGGAGAAACTTGGATTTAATATAAGAATGTGTTTTCACCTCAGAAACATTGGAAATTGGGGTAGAATGTTAAATCAACCAAAGAGATGATGGTTTAATGAGTTATTGCAACTGTTTTGAGAGGCTTTTTTAAGATACATGTAGATAAATTTTATTTTAGAAACATAAAAACTAAAAAATAAATTGTCATCCAACGGGCCAAAGTAATTGTAGTGGCAGGATCAAGCCTCCATCACAGGCTTACAGTTCACACACAATTTACAATTGAACCAGTAGTATATGCATGTTCATGATATTCGGCAGCAAATTTCAGTGGATGATTGGCTTCCTCCATCACAAGATTACAATCTATTTTGCAGTGGATGATTGGATCGCTGAGGCTTTATCGGGTTGGGACTTTAAGGGTAAGACAAAGGTTCCATGGAAGTTGTATGGAAGACCGCACCGCTTTTTTGGCTTCTTTGGAAAGAGCAAAATCAAAAATCTTCGAGGATAAGTCTTCTTCCTTCGAGTTTTTGTATAATAGTGTGCAACATATAGATTCTTAGTGGTGTTCTAATAATAGAAATTCTTTTGTAATTATAGTCTTTTAAGTCTTCGGAGGGTTATTACAGATTATAAGGCTATTCTTTTGTAGTTTCTTTGGGCGTGGTTTCCCATACCCCTACCCCAAAGCTGTTATCCTCCTTTTTGTTGACATGTCTTTGTTTCTTATAAAAGAAATTCTAAAAAAAATCCTCAGCATCAAATTGAAAAACATCAAGATCACAGTAAAAAAAATAAAAAGCAGAACTTATAGACAAACACTTGAAAAGAAGCAACAAACAAGATACTGCATATTGGGTAAATAGTATGATCCTAAATACCAGAAGATGTAGTACAGCTGAAAATAGAAAGAAAGCATTGGATGGTAGAACCCCTGACATCACCATCCAGCCACTGTTCTTTAATCCTGTAGTAAGGGTGAAACTTCCCTTGTGTATTCAGTTGTTTTGGCTGTAGAATTGGGTTTTACTATTCTCACTAGTAATAGCACCCAATACTAGCAAGGGTGACATCATGGACAAGATTTACTACTGCAATTTGTACCAAAAGGGCAAAAGTGGTGTTTCTATTTTATTTTATTTATTTTTCTTATACGAATGTTGCAGTATTTTGGAAGAATAATGTCAGGAAAAAGAGGCCAACAGAAAAGAAATACCGTGAACAGCAGATCCTAACTTATCAACTAGGAAAATCATTATTCGGTTGATCTAGAAACAAAATGAGATATCCCAGCTTGTTTCCTCCAGAGACAGTAAAAGAAGGATGCAGAGTAGCTATGGCAGTCTCATATGTGAGAGCATACATTACAAATGATGTACCGACCACACCCAGTTATTGAAAACCAAATTCATATTTGTATTGAAATCATAAGAAGATTGGAAATTGAGGAGAAAAAAAACTGAGAGCAACAATCCATATTGATAGACCCCCTATTAGAAACGTTTACAAGAGAGAGCCCATGAAGAAAGACTGGGGAGCAATGTAATAGGTGAGTCGGGATATAAATAGGGAGGGAGTCGGGAGATGCTTAGGGGGTATGCTTTTGGTATCTGTAGTTGGTTTGGTTGTGCTTGTGTAACTTTGTGGATAAATAATAACAGACTTTATCAAATTCCAAGCTACTTAGAATACTGATTCAATGTTTATCTACCCAAATCTCCTAATCTACACTAATTATCACCTCCATCCTTGTTTTAACATACGCCCCCCTCCATCTAATCACTACACATACTAACTACTTCACCCCTATGCTAATGCCGCACATAAATATAAGATGCAAAACATTGAATCCTCCATGAGGTTCCAACATTTAAAGCCATCGGCCGATGCCCAGTTCCACTCGGACTTGAAACATGACACCAAATCCTTCATAATCCCTGAACAGAGAGGAAAGTAACCACAACACAAATCCAAATTGAAATTTTATTGACACCAAATCCTTCACTTGAAACTTGCAATGCCCATCATTAAAACTGAAATTTGTACTAGTATATGGTAGTTGGGAGATAACGTTGACAGGGTTTGGTTGAAGTGGCAAGAAGTTCTGTTTATATATTTATGTGAGAAAACAACTATGAAGAGTAAGAGAGAAAAAAGTCCATTCTCACTGACCTCGCTCACCAGGAGTCTTGTAACTTATTAAAAACTATGTTCTTCCCGAACTTAGATCGTGCAGAAAAGGAAAAGAAAATTCTAGCTAAACTCATCTTTCAAAAAGATGGCTTTCAGGGGTTTGGTTCTAAAATCATTATTGCAAGAAATAAATTTTTGCATAGAAACATAGAAATCATCTCTTAAAAAAAATTACACAGAAGTCCCAAAGCTATGGTATATTTAGAAACAGAATACGTAGAGGAAAGCCGCCCCCCTCCCCCTCCTGAGAGAGAGAGGTAGAGAAAACCCGTGGTATTCATTTAAGACAGATTCTGGGGGTGAAATTACCAATGCGCTACCCCAAGCTGACAATAACAGGTGTGTACGCAAAATACAAGACATGAGACTATGAGAGCATATATCACAACCAGTGCAGTCAATAAGACCTCTCGATTATATAGATAAAAGATACCAACATATCCAAGCAAAAAAGTACAAATAGTTATGCACCCAATGAACGCATACATATCAAGTTATTCAATGGCGTCAGAATGTAAAAGGAAGGAAGCAGGCAGAAGATAATGCACATCATTAAGTATTGCTGCAGGAAATACAATCGAATGGATGAGAAACTTACAAAATAAAGTAGCTGGAGTAGGTACCAGAACCCGAGCAAGCTGCAAAGAAAAATACGTCTCTCTCGACTCTGTCCACTATTGGGTTTTTTTCACAAGTGGGAGAGAGGAATCTAGAGAAGGAGAGAGATAGGAAAAAAAATTTCGTTTGCAATAGATTTTCTACTGCTCAGTCAACTTCGTTTGGAAGTCTTTTCTTACCTACAAGGTTATAATCTTTCACCTCTAAGAAATTCATTTGCAGAGAGCACTAACTAGGTGACTTTATTTCATTCCACCAGGAGCCTGCCTTTTCACATGAAACGTTTCGGAATGCAATCTGAACAACCTGTGGACTCTCTTGATGCAGATTCTAAGTTCCAGTGAAAAAAGAAGAACAGTGAAAGGAACCCCATAAGGATAAAAAAAAAAGMAGAARMARAAGAGAACCTTATTAGAGGAACGTCATAATCTGCTTTTTCAAACAGAAATTATTCAGGGACAAAGAACTCGGAATTCAAATAAGTAGTTTTAGTGTTCTCTTAATTGTTCAGTTCCGTAGTTTTAAGTTCTTAACATGGACAACTTCAAACTATACCTCCCGAGATCTTTGTTACGAGAGACAGTTCAAGTTAAATTTTCATAACATCAGAATTCAGATCTTCCTTGCAAAGTTATGTCGAGAAGACTATTATTCATTTAAAGAAAGTTTGACGACATCTGTTCTTAAATAAGTTACTAAAAATATATAAGAGAGAACTTATGAAATAAATAAAATAAAGGTTCACGGGCAGGTTTGTGAAATCTGGAACTAAGAAGTCAGAGCTTCTATTTTATTTACCATGTGGATATGAATTAACTCATTAAAAAATACTTGAAGATAGAGAGAACTTCAATTCTTTTTTCTTTTGTCGTTTACTGTCACAAAACTAAAGGAGAGAGAGCCAGAAGAAGAAGAAGAAGAAATAGACCTGGGCTTATGAAATGCCAGATCCTGTTGCATAGAGACGCGTAATGATGATCCGAAGCACAACCTCCTACGAAGAGCAGACGAGAATTACGCTCAAATTTCGGCCATTATTAGTGAAGCTTGACCTGAAACCCTAGAAGATCAACCGCTGAAGTACGCGAACGAAAACAAAATCTAGGTCAACTATATGTTTCTCTGTGATCTCTCACAGACGAACTCTCGAGTTCCGCACGTCGCGGAAAATGTAACAAGCGGCAAACACGAAGGAGAAAGTGGAAGAACTCGAACATTTCTCTCTACTCTGTCCTTCCATTCGACCCTCCAATTTCATTCGTTGTTATTCGAATCGAACACTTCATCGAGCTTCTTGCATCACTCGGAAAGAAATTCCACCGATTTCTTCTTAAAGCTTGATGATTTTTAATGGAGATTCACGTACGTCTTCGGTTTCTGTGATCACCCATCATCGGCGATCTTCAATGGTCCTCCGATAGCAGCGATCTTTCGCTCGGTTGGTGGCGGACTTGAAATTAAAATTCGGGTAAAATTACATTTCCCCCCTTCAATCTTTAAAATTTTAGACAACGCCCCACACCATATATCGTTATTCCAAAATTACCCCATATATCGTCTGATTAAAATAAATTTCAGTGGTCCATTGACAATTTTTTTTTTTTTTTTACTATGATAAGATTAAGAAGCAATGAAGGAGCAGAACAGGCAAAATAGCCAGCAATTTCCTCATAAACAATTGACAAAGTTCATAAACATTTGTAAGATTATCGACATGAAAGAAGAAATTCTGAGCTTTATTCAGCCACAGTAGCCGCCACCCAATGCCACAGCCACAGCCACAGCCACAGCCATGCCCCTCATAAAAACTCCTCCCAGATCAAAAGAGAGAGGAAAAAAGAGGGTAACATCTTACAATCTACTATTTATCCATTCAATTATGTCACTGATGATACTCTGTCTTTCTGGTTCAAAGAGGAGATCATGTAGGAGGCCTTGAAGCAATCTGATGGATTTGTCAGTTGAGGAGGCTTCTATGTAAAGTTTTTGAGAAGCTTTTGGGTCAGTTACTTGGTCGACAGTCCCATGGAGAACTAAAAACGGAACGCGTATTTTGCTTAAATTCTGCTGCAAAAACGATGAGATTTTGAGGATTTCGTAACCGGTTCTCACACGGATCGATCCTGTGTAAACTAGAGGATCAGAGTACTTAGCCACCAATGCATCTGGATCTCGAGACACCGGCATGGTTGTGTTGTTTGCAGCGCCAACTTGGAGAGTTGGCAACAGCAATGAGACTATTGGCGCAAGGACCTACAACCAGAAGGAGCAAAAGGATGACAATTAGACAGATATCAAAACCAATCCCTGTCAAAGGATATGAGTTTCACTGACCGCAAAAATCGGATGGGATGGTTGAACTCCAACTGCAGGTGATGTAAGCACAACTCCTGATATGCAAGAACTGATACTTGGGTCGATCACTGCCTGAGGAAGTAGAATAATCGATTAAGAATCAGAAGAATGTACCATATTTGCAAGCACACCATCATTTGTATAGATGATACCTTAAGAACAATGGCTCCCCCTGTGGAGTGTCCAAATAAAAAACAAGGCAAGCCCGGGTTGTCAGCCAAAACCTTCTGAAGATATGATTTCTGCCATGTATTCAAATAGATAGACGATCACATAAGCTAGCCAGATATGGTAGTCACCCCATGATTTATTTTCTTTTAACTCACACACCAACACTAGAAAACTGTACGATAGTGGTAAGAAATGTGATGACTGGTGTATAATAGTTTATGCTTATTTTAGTCCATTTAATATATATTAGTTAAGTTGTTGATTCGAGTTAATTAGTTTACATTAAATTGTTAATTAGTATGTTAGGGTTAGTTAGTTATTTTATTGTAAGGCTACTTGCATTTGTAATAGTCCATTTTTGGATATTATTGAACAATATTAAGGATTTTAAAGAAGGTTTTCTCTCATCGATGTCATTTATAAATTTGTTGCATTACATACCAAATCAGAAACAGCATCATCAAGAGAATGAACATAAGCATGCAACCCATCGCTCCCACCGTGGCCTGTAAAGAAGCAAAGAAACTTGATAATCATCATAACCACAGGATATCTGAAGAGTGCAGATTTAGAGCCCCTGACTTCTATGCCTTCCAAAGCGATGAAAGCGCGAAGCCACTAAGTAGTCAAAGACGAGAGGTTTCAAGGAGTTTTAGTAACTATTCAGATGGTTATTAATAAGTGAAAGTTTTTGAGGTCATGCATTGGTCGATTTAATGTGTCATAGCAAAGTTATCAAGGCTCCAGCCAATCTTCCAAAGGATTTTCCCCCTTTTTCTAGTAAAATTACACATTATCGCACAGACTCAGATAACAATCTTACTCTATAAAAAGGAGCTTCACATGTTACTTTTTTGCACCGGCATCCCAAATGCCTTATCCTGCAACATCCAAATATAGATGCATTGTTGAAGAATTGAAATCTTTAGACTAAGGAAACAGTAATCGTATATAAATTTAAAAAAAAAAAGGAAAAAAGGCAAAATGTCTGTGTATTTGAAGGATGTAAGGTTGTATCATAAAAGCAAGGCCTTTTCGCTTGGAACCTCATAAATTCAAAATCAAATCATTTAGACTGTATTTGAAAACTATTTTGTTTTTAGATTCCTTATTTCCAAAAATTATGTCGGCTTCATTACCATTTCTTTGGTAGCTTTCTTAAAAAACACATTTGATTTATTAGACAAATTTCAAAAAAAAAAAAAAACTCCACATTTTAGTTTTCGGAACTTACCTTAGATTTTGAAAATGTTTTTCATTGGAAGACAACAAACCAAAAAAACACACAAGTGAAAGTAGTGTTTATAGATTTTAACTTTCAAAAACAAAATGGTTACTTAGAGAGTTGTCTGGTTCCAAATTGAATAGATGAGTACATAAGAATTATTTGTCCGAATAGGACCATAAGCCACCAACAGTGGGGACCCGTTGGATGCATTTATAGGAGTCCACGTCTCTTGAGATGTGTTCTCCCATTTGTGAGCCCCATGGAGGACAATAAAATCAGTATAAATCAAATGTAAAAGTTCTTCTTTTTCTTTGCTCATTGCTTTCCGGAGTGAACAGGGCTATCATTGTCCTCCTTACCTCTTTCATCATATACAACTAAACTTTCTAAAAGCTAGTAAAAACTGGTTTAGTCATCAACATTTCAGCTAAAAGTGTGAAACAATTAGAAGTATGTACACGTCTACTACTTTTACAAATTGCAAGCACAGCTAGAGATATCCACTGGACTGCTATCTGCTAAGATCCTGACTAAAAGTTGATGAAAAATTAACGAGGGAACTGTATGTAACTGATAGCATTTTTTTTATAAGAAACCGAACTTTTCATTTAGGAGAATGAAAACAAAATAGAAATACAAGGGTATACAAAAACAACCCCCAAAGAAAAAAGCCAGACTATATGTAACTCATAGCGTTAATAAAGAAAGCAAAAAGGTTGAAAGACTAAAGAACACGAGGAATCTACAAACATGTAGAAATGTCAAAAGAGTTAGCACACTTACCAATCCAATCCATGCCAAAAACCTTGTAGCCATTTGCATTTAGTTGCTTGGCAAAATCACCGTATCTACCACTGTTACAATAATTGAAGCGTCTTTACTGTTTATTGCCATGCATTATAGCAGTCCAAAGAAGCAACAAATAATTTGAAGGTACAAGTCACAAACCTGTGCTCATTCAGTCCATGCAAGAGAACCACTAGTCCCCTACAAAAGACATAATACTATAACAGGTTAAAAATACTGTAGAAAATGACCCCCCAAAAGAAAATAGAACACAACTCTGAATCTTAAGTATTTAATTCTTCATCAAGTTGCTACCTATAGTGTCACTGTCAATCTCAAACAATTCAATACATCGAAAGAACGAGAAATCTTTTCTTAAATATGCATCTAACAATCACAGGAGAGGTAGCAATATTGTGGTACAGAAATCTCAAGTTAATTGAACTATGGTGATTATTGAGAACTAATACAAATACCATAATTATGAATTTATTCGAAACATTTTCTCAAACTTCCTTCATATCAACATCAGGTAGACGAGGCCAAACGAGCAGTTCAGTGCTCAAAGCTAAATACAGAGGATAGTTCTTGTTAGGAGTCAGAGACAAACTGATATTGCAGAGAATGGACAACGAAGGGGACTTCCTGATCTAAGACAAGAAAATATTTTATTTTTCTAGGACCACTGATATCCTTGGAAATAGGTCCTGCTCATGGATAAACCAGGCAACCCCACCTTATCCAAAAAAATTACTCAATGTGACAACACAAAGCATGGTCATCCCTTCCTAACTATTGGATGCATAGTTAAGCTCCAATTCCTTTATTTAAATATTTAACTACACGGGTAGTAGAAGTTCTCTTGAATTTCGCAAATTTAACTAAGCAGTAAATGATACACGAATCCCCCGTCGTTCTTGGACTCCAAAAGAAAACAGAAAAAAAAAACTCTTGAATTTCTGATGTGACGTAGTTTTCTTCACTAAATATTTTTAACAAATATTGTCCATTTTTCCTACAACATAAATTCACCAACCACATTATTACAGCCCTCAAAATAATTACTCCACCTTACAAATTGAGTACCACAGGATAACTTTACTTCCATATAAAACCAATATTATATCTGTATAAATCTATCCATTTATTGAATGCTCATGATTCCCAAAACCTAGAGGTCAATAAGTCAACTGAAAGAGAGAGAAAAAAAACAACTAATGTTCTTAGAGCTGGAGGAAAAAAATTGGCATTAATCATTAAATCGATAACCTTATCTCCACCGATACAGGCGTCCACGATTGGGTAAAGGTCGTATTTCCTCTCGGGGTTTGGAAGAGAAGAAACTCTCGCACCGAGTCCTCACAGCAATCCTCAAGCACCCTCCGAATTGCCAGAGCTCTTCTCACCGCCACCTCCTGATCCACCCCCGCCGGCGCCGGCGCGGTCCCGTTGGTGTTATTACTACTACTGCTCTTCCTAGACACGATCGCCGCCGGCACCCTGACCGTGGCGCATTTTCTCTCTTGCTTATCGTCTTTGGGCTTCTCCACCGACGACAGAGCGATGGATTGCGCGCGCTTCCGGCCGCGGAAAGGCACTAACAACAACAAAATGAAGGCATTAACCAACATAATCAGACTCTTCAGCGCGCGCATCGATAGCAACGCGTTTATGCGGCCACTCGCACCGGAGGTCAGAATCAGCGATGAGGACGACGATGAAGATGACAACAGCGTGGGATTCCCCTTCACAATCGGCTCCATAGGCATTATTATTATTATTATTATTATTCCCTTTCGCTGATTGCAAACCCTCACGTCTCTCTCTCTCTCTCTGATCCCCCTCGAGAAAATATTTCACTCCTTCCAATGTTCAACACTCGTTCTCATTCAGAACTTAAACAGAGAAATAAGAGATCCAGAAAAGAAAAACAAAACCCCCAAATTATCTTCCCAATCGATGAAATTTGGGGATGTTGCTAAATTTAGCCCTTACTCCAAATAACACCCTCAAATTTTAGAAACGAAATCCAAAACAAGTAAATGAATTCGCTGGACTTGGAACAGAAACCCGTCGAGAATTTTTCTTACACAGCCAAAAACGTAGAAGAAAGAAGGAAATCCCGAGAGCTCGCATCTATGTTAATAAACTAAAAACATGGGAATCTTCGAGAACGAAAAATTAAATACAAATCTCAAATTTTTGTGGACGACTGGGATCGCGTTGTCCACCTCAGTGTGACACGTGGCAAATATGCGGCGTTGGAAGGCGTTTTTTTGGAGGTTGGAACCGGTCAGACTCGTCCACTAATTTCCAGAAATTTTGATATTCTTCCACGTGTAACTTCCCTGGTGGGAGTGGCTTATCTTGCCGGGACACGTGTCGAGCTCTTATTAGCGAGAGTGCGGATATAAAGATACGCGTCCAGTTTTAGCCACTTCTTTTAATTGGTGTGGATAAGCTGAAGCGAGTACGGTGTCGAACGCGACGTGGACATATCAAGAACGTTCTGGAGAGGCGTGGCGATATAAATAATTGAATCAACTGGAGCTTGGTCAGATTCCGGCCGTTGAATCCGCAGCTGGGCTAAGCCCAAAACAGATGGCCCAACTAGCCATGGGCCATGATAATTGTTTCAAATATTCATAAATTTTACAGATAATTTGGAAACTTATTTTCACAATATACCATATTTATAAATTTTATCTAGATTTAAAACTTTTTTCGAAGGTCAAATTTACCCTTATTTATGGTATTTATATTTATTATAATTAGTCTTTTATTTAAATGTAAAAGATTAATATTCCAAATTTTATTTGGTAAACATTAAATTATTATGGGACCTGAATCAATTATTCTTATAATCCATTCTAATTTACTCCTTAATATATTCTACTAAAGAATGAAATTTATAACAAAATATTCAATTATTTACATAATCCTCAAATTTACTCCTTAATATATTCTACTAAATAATGAAATTTATTACAAAATATTTTTTCATTTAAATTTCAATACTATAATCATTATAACATATACTTATATTTATGTATGTATATGTATATATGTATGTATTATCTATATATATATATGGAGATATAAACTATATCCGACTACCTTTTCATTTATATGGAAATATAAACTATATCCAGCTATAAACGTAAACAACATACACTCAATAATGGTGATATAAACTATAGTCATTATAACATACACTTATATGGAGATATAACCTATATCTAGCTATAAAGTATATATGACTATATTCCTCTACAATTAACAAAGCAAATAACTTACAAACCTTCCTATCGACCACCAGACAATGGTCGGGATAAACGGAGGACTCGAATGATCAACGGGCGGCCAACGACAAAAAGGAAACCTCGGGATAAACGGACGGAAACAATGGACGAATGGTCGGAGACGAATTAGAAGCTAGATGGACTGTTCCGACGACGAGTAAGAACGGAGACGATGGTCGGAGACGAAAGAAAGCGGACGGTGGTCGGAGACGAAGGAATGGATGGAAACAGAAGTACAGAGGAAAAAGAAAAGTCGGAGGAATGAGGTTTTCGAATTTTTTCAATAATGGAGGATTTTGGGGATTTGATATTTTTTTTCTTTTGGAGGGTCTAATTAGACAAAATTTAACGGATTTAAAATGTAACATCGCAAGTAATCAATTTTGGATTTTAAAAATTAATTAATATTGAGATGTAGATACAAAAGGGTATATTAATAAATTAGGTGATGGGTATCATTTTAAATGAAATTGTTTCATGACAAAATGTAAATTTTACACCTTCAATCATTTTATGTAATTATAGTATATAAATAGTGTACTAATCCCTAAATTTTAATAGTCTCTTTCTCATCCATTTAATTTATGTAATTTAATAACAGTAATTGACATTTACCTATTCTTCAAGATCCGATTCGAACCCAGAATTAAAAAGAACACAAAATTAGGAGTTAAGAGATAATTTTTAATTATCATTTGTTAGCTTAGGAGATATTATCTAATATTTTAGTAGATGTGAGTATACGTGGCATCAAACTACACACAATAAATAATTTTTAAAAATACATTTCAATTTTCACACGTATCATGCTGATCAATCGAATGTCAAATCGTAGAGAACTAGCTAAACCTTTTTTTTTTCTTTTTTGTGAAAAAAATGTTTTTATTTATTTACCCTTTGTCCAGTTGCGAGTTGCTCACTGGAGTCTTCGAGCTGGCAGGTGGATGGTGAAGGAAGATGAAAAATGGAAAGGGGCAAATGAGTAATTCACATTTTAGGTTTTACTCTTTAATAATACTCAATAAAGGTTGTAGAAAATAAATGAAATAGTGTGCGCCAGCCAATGCTCTGTGCACGTAATTTCTCTTTTGGAAAAAAAAATATACTATTTTGGTCCTGATTTTTCAGGTTACTTTACCCTTTTTATTTTACTTCCCCCACTTTTTTTAATTAAAAAATATATCCTTTATTTATTTTTTTATTTTTAATTCAACACTTCATATAAAATTGATTCGAATTTCTCACTTTTTAATTTAAAATATATATTTTAAATAGTTGATCTATGATATTGTTTGTAAAATATATATATATATATAGTACTTAATACTTTCCTTAGAAAATAGGCTACCTTCTACCAAATTTTTAAAAATACCTACTTTCTATTGCGAGATAGTATCAAAGTCAATCACTTATATTATATATATAAACTTATTAAAATATTAGTTGTGTTCCTTATAGATAGAGTTTGGTTTGAATTTAAGATGTGAGGATTAAGGACACCTGTCCTTCTCTCATGGTGTTTTTTATTTTTTATTTTTTATTTTTGTTATTTTCTTACCATTGTATTTGCATCTTCTTATAATTATTTTTATAGATTTTTTATAGGTTATTAATAGTTCAAATTCTCACTTTGAGCATATGATGAACATAAAAATTCTTGGCTCTATTTTGTCAATATTCAAAAATGCTTTTGAGCTTTTTTCATAGTGCAAAATCCAAACTTGATATCAAATAATGCATGAATATAAGGGAAAAAAGAAGGTAAATAAAGTCATGGTTTCACATTTAAATAGTTGGCATAAAAAGTAGACTTTGTTGAAAAGCATTCAGAAAACTGATAGATACTTTGGGGGAAAGAGACATCACATTTAGCTTAGTATAGTAGCTAGCCTACTCACCACGTGACTAACATTTTCTTTTTCTTTTCTTTTTGTTCCATAGTAGCCACTTCAGTTACGTATATTTGATTTTTTTCCTTTTCATTGGGAGAAGAAAACAAATTATCGTTTTGATGGTATTTATATGAGCAATTATAACTAATGAATGATGAATTTCGAACTTGACACGTAACAGAGTTATATGTCTTCGAACTACAAGTCAGGTGACTAAACAAGAGGTCTGATTGACTGAACTCTCCATGCTTTGGGTGGAAACTGTCCAAGTGCGCTGCTAATCACTAAGCGAATTCTGCATCAAAGATCTCGTGTGGTACAACTAAATGCACGATCCGAGCATTGTAACTGGTTCTGTGTTTCTTTCAAATAAATACCAAAAGGTAATGTTARTTGAGGTACGATCGTATTTGATTATTCATTCAAATTTCGAAAAGATTGAGAAATGACTTAGGAGTGCTAATATGTTGTTTTGCTAATCATCTGGAGTTGAGTACTTTGGTCAAATTTTGACTGAAAGAGTAATCATCATATATCAATCATAGATTTCTTTTTCAATAATTACAGGGTGATCCAATTATTAACTTTTAAAATGATAATAAACATCTTATCTACTAAACTATGTTCAGATTGATATATATACTAATTGTTAATGAGTATTTTATAGAACAGCTATTTAGAAAATATTTTTTAACTGGAACAAAGTTCGGTAAAATACATGCTCGAACAATTTTTTTAAAGCTTTTATCTTTTGTTTTAAAAATAAATATTTTTATTACAGGTGGCTTGGTTTTATGCTAGAATATTAATGTAGGGACTGAATTTTCGAAGTTATTATAAATTTATAGTCAATGTTTTTCAACTAAGACCATTAACATGGTCTATAAAAAAAAGAAAGAAAGAAAAGTCAAGTTAATTAAACTATAAATGCAGTCACATATTATTTATTTAAAAAAATCAATATGAATTTAACTCAACCAATTAAGGTATTCATCTCAATTTAAATCTTCAGGCCACATATTATTATATTAAAAAAAACAAAGTTARTGGTGTAGAATTAATTTAAGTTTCAAATTTTCTTCGTTTCWACTTATACTTTAATAAAAACAAAAATTYCTATAAAATTAATTTTCATCTCTTTAATTCAAAAGGGTCCAAATAAAGTTGAATTATACTCGACAATCTCTCATAAATCAAATCTTTCTATATAAATCAGAATCCAATTTGAAAAACTTTGGATTCGATTGGATATCATATGTAATAAATTAAAAAGGAAAATAGTAGCTTTTTTAGTCATTTAAAAAAAAACAATCAAATCACCTAAAACAAACAAAACTTTGTCTAAATACAAGGAGCATCCAATTCCCTATATTCCATATAATCCACTACCAAAATTTATTCTACCCCTTTTGCCCTTTTTCAATAAACAACACCTAATGCAGTAACTCACATNNNCTATTTATGAAGTTGAGATTTGGTTGTTCCACAGCTAAAGTACTACATATTGAAAGAAATGAAATGAGGATGTGAAGGTTGGATTTTTAGTTGTGCCAATTGTGTCTCATGGGGAACTCTTTGCATGGATTGTTCGAGTTTAAATTTAATCCCATCAAGTTGTTTGAATGACCTAACTCATAGCTTTCCTGAAAAAAAAWATATATATATTTTTTTGTTTGTTAGAATGTTCGAGTTGAGTTCGTTTTGTACCTGCAATATTGTGATATATAAATATGATATTACAACAAAATGATATTTTAACATTTATGTTAAGTTTTTGTTAATAAATTGAAATTCTGTTTATTGTGGGTATGTTCAGTTTTTTTATTTGAAAAAGTATTTTTAGAAAGTAAAACACTAGATAATAAATCGTTAATAAACAATTACTATTTTAGTTTTTAAAATCTTGTCAAGAAAAAACACTTTTTCTTCCGTATATATATATTTCCAAAACCAAAGTTAGTAGGAAATAAACTTATTTTTTAAAAACAAAAATGGCCTTAAAGTTCAAATATAAAATAATAATATATAAGTTGAAACCATCCTTCTAGACTAAAAACTAACCTGAAAAAAAGAGTATATATATTTCTCTTTAATACTATTTTACTGAGTATTAACCTTAAGCATTCAATTTTCTACTGATTACTGCTAAAATTTTGATAGATATTTTTTTTTAATACATAAAAATATTTATATATATATATATATTTCCCTTTCCTACTCGAAGGCACAAATAAGGACGAACCAACGTCTAAATATTATATATATTGGCTAATTAGGATAAAATTATAAGAAATTTTTTCCCTAAAAGTTTATACCTCTGGTTGATTTTCTGATCCAAACACACTTGTACTTCTTGGAGATCCTTGCTCCCATGCTCTTCTGAAACAACATATAATTATCATAATCATTACCATAATCATAATTATCAAATTTTTTAGGTAATTTGGCCGTTGAGGAGGGAGAGAACAAAACACAAATAATGTTAAATATATATGTCTTTTACAATAAACAATTATATATGATATACTGAAATTTTTTAATACAATAATAATTGCACTACAATATAAGTGTACAGTAAATTAAATTCAAATTTCATAACACATACCTTTTCTTTTTGGGTAATGCTAGCATGTGAGACTATATATATAAAAGCTGTTTTTACCATTAATTTTAAGAGAAAATGGCCTAGAAAAAAAAGACTGCAACCTTCTGCTATGCCACTTTCATTTCCATCATTGTGTAAGCTGCTTCTTATTTTTCTTTTTCTTTTTCTTTTTATTTTTTTCTAACAAAGAAAAAATTATATGGTAAGGTAAGGTAAATGCCTATGTGGAAAAAACTAATTTTGTTTTTAATTTTTCTTTATACATCGTGACAATTTAGTCTTTATATTTTAAATTGGTAATAATTTAGTCTTTGAACTTCAATATGTAACAATTTAATCCCCTACCTCTGAATTAAGCGTTAATTTTTATTATATAATGATTTATTCGTGTAATCTATAAACACATTTGTTCTCGATCAATTTATCGGTCTACATTTATAAGAAACCCTATTTAATCTTAACAATATTTTTTTTCACAATAGGGAGTAAATACTTATCAACTTTAAACTACAAAGACTAAATTATTACCAATTTAAAAGCACAAAAGCTAAATCGTTACAGCTGCATAACCCAACTATTTAAGGTACCTATTTCCCACCAAAAAGTCGTGACTTCAAACCTTCATCTCACCCCACCCCCCACATGTTATACTAAAAAAACCGTGACAAACTAAAATCTAAGGACCAAATTGTCAGTTCAAGAATAGCAAATCGACCTATTTCAACAAACAAGATCTCACAAACTAGTCGTCTAAGAGTCGTTTCGGCATGCAAATAGACTCGTGTCAATTGGGATTACCAAGTAAAACTTATATATATTTGAGACCCCATGCTGGATGTGGGCAATCTCAAAGGCTACACAAACCATATCATAGAACCTCAGTCCCTCCAAAAACCCCACTTTTTTTATACCACATGAAACCATTTTTACAAATCAGAAATGGAAACATAGATCAGTCAAAATAAATGTATATGAGATGTTGAAAGAAAAGGTAGTAAAAGAAAAGGAAATGGGGAAAGTAAAGCTGTCACAAAGACAAAGGCAAATCCATATATGTATATATATATATATGTATATGTTGTGAACACTTTTACCAATCAAAAGGGCAAAACAAAGCAGCATGCTGATGCAGAAGACAGATAAAACAGCAGCATTAAATGCAGAGAGAGAGAAAAAAAATAAAAAGTTTAAGAACCTGGAAGAGTTGGAAAGGGTATTAATGGAAGATGTGGATCCAAAATTAAGATGAATATCAGCTGCCTCCAAAGAAGCAGTACTACACCCTCTTGTATGATTCAGCAAACAATTTGCTTCATGCTGTGGGTTTGGTGTTGCTGGCAAGAAATCTTCTTCCCCAGACCCTTCTGAAAATACCATTTTAATTTCCAATTATCTGTCTTCCCCATTGGTTAATTCACATTAAACAAAATTAATATAATATAATAGAGATCCCAAGAAAATAAATAAACCCTTTTAGTTTTCCCTTCTAGTGCAAATTACTTTCCTACAAAACCCTTTTAAAGTTAGGGCTCGAATAATGTGGCTCGCTCGAAAACACGGCGAATAACTTTTTCATGGTGGGAGAGAACCATTTCGGTTTTAGTTTTCTATTTTTAAAATTACATGTCTTTTACTATTTCAAAGTTTTTTCACTTTTGAATCCTTATCCAAATTTCAAAAACAAAAACAACTTCTTTTAGATTTTAAAATTTGTCTTTTTAGTTTATAAAAGATATATAATATATATAAAAAAAAAAGAAGAATAACGATTCTAAGATTAGTTAATTTATAAAAAAGAAAACTAAAAACCAAAGGGTTATGGAAATGTTTTGAAAAAATCTTTTTATCACTGAAACAAAAACTTCTCCTAATGGAAAATCTTGAGGCTGAGCTGGAACAATGTAGCACGGGTAATTTTATATTATTGAATGTGTAATAAATAAATATAAAATAATAGTTGGACTATAAATCCAATGGATATAAGAACACACCTTAATCTTTTTCCCCTTCCTTAACTTTCCCGGAAAATCTTGGAAACCAAACATGTCTTTTTAGGTTTTGAGATGTCATTTTGAATATGGATGATGATGATGGTATGCATCATGTTCATGGATGCATGTGAATGAAGTCACATGCATGCAAGACACAAGGCATAAATTAAAGCGGGAGAAGAATTTTTTTTAAAACAGCAAGAAAATTTTTATTAATTTATTCTTAATTAAGCTCGAAAGAAGAGAAGGGTTTAGTTTATTATTATGGGAGATTGCAAAGGAATTCGAATTTCATACCTGAAGAAGCTGTTTGTTTGTCGGTGTTTTTAACTGTACGATACATCTGAAAAGAGAAAAAACAAATTCCCACAGATAAAATATATGTGTATTGACATGAAAGTTAGAACAGAAAAAGGAAATTCATGTACAGTTTTGTGTCTGAAATAACGTTAATTAAGAACATTGACTTAATAAAACATAAAAGATTAATACTTTGAATATAATCTGAAAATTTCACCGCTGTTTATTCTACTTGAAAAAAAAAGGAAAAAAAAAACTTTTTTTTTTCTCTCCCTTCTTATATTACTCTCTTGGGGACTTGCAGGAGATTTTAACGTTAAGTCACGAGGTAAATATTATTCTTTCGCAACGAGGTTAAAAGTCAACCTCTTAAAGATGGTTTCTTTGGCAAGTTCTTAAGGTGTCTTGATCACATACTGACTTAAAGGTATCTAGTTCTAAGGTGAGCTTAATAGGAAAAACTCTTGATGTCTTCCCGATTTTAACCTTGGGGCAAGTGTACTTCGATTGTGAATGATAGTGTAACTTATATTAAAGGTTCCTAATTTGGGGCGTTGACGGCTACCTATCACTGTAACAGTTACATTGCAAGACTCATCATCGAAACTCCAATTAATGTGCTCCACAGGCTCGAATCGGAGAGGAGTATTCCCATTGCAAGCCCATTATGCAACTACCCGCCAAAGGGAAAGGGAAAGTTTTTTTTTAAATGGGTGTTGGGGATTTTGTTTGGTTAGTGAGAAATTAAAAAGAGGGTTTGGAAGTTTTTGTTTGGTGTGGAAAGTAAATGGGAGGGAGAGGGTTCCATTATTGAGAAATGATGCCTATTTCTCTCTCTTTCTCTCTCTCTCTCTCTCTCTAAAAGGAGAAATTGTCCTGTTTCGTAACTACACACAGACTTTTTCCAGCTTCTGAATCATTCATTCATTTATTCATTCAATTCCCTCGTCGTTGGCTTCTGTGCCACAGGGATTCCCAAAGTCTTCTCCTTCGCCCCACGTTCACACAGAAAAAATCAAAACTTTTTGCAGAGAATAACAAGAAGGAGAAGAAGAAGAGAAGAAGGGATATAAAATGGATTTCAAAAAAGAGAAAAAAATGGTGGGTTTTCCTCTAAACTTACCTGTAAATGGCTCTTCACATGAGCAAGTGTGAGATCTTTCACATCCATGAGCTCCAACACCGATTTTGGAGTCGCCCCTGTTAAAGAAAAAAAAAAGTTCATAAAAAGAACGTATAAATTTTTCCAAATCCATGCCTATATCATCACTCTAAACTTCTTGCAGTGTCATTTTCACAGGTTAAACTTAAAAGATTTGAGAAATTTTAATGCAACTTTCTTTGAACTAATCAAAGGATTATTGCCATATTCAAACAACTGTTGGATGCTGGCTCAAAATCAAGCGTTATTTTGACCCTGAAATAAATTTTCGAGCTTTCAGGGTTCGGTGATAGTTTAGAAATTAAGAGAAGGAAAAAGTACTTTCATGGCCACCAAGGAGTTGAACAGCACGAATAAAACGAGAATGAAGAGAAGAAGTCCATCTCATTCTTGGTGCCCTACTGTTCCTTCTACTCTGAATCCTCGGCATAAATCTTGATCTATTGTAATTATAATTACTGCACCCTAATTCCGAAACCCCAAAATGGGGATACGACGTCGTAATTTGATTCTGAAGCTCCATTGTCATCGCCGCCGGCTGTTGAAATGCCCTAAATCTAAAACAGCCCCCCGCCGGAGACGACGACGACAACCCATTGTTGTACACCGGAATTCCTCTGATGGGTCGGAACCGATCGGCCGACATGTCTTTCTCCGCCGCCGCCGCCGCCGCCGGATTATTGGAGAGAGAGAGCTCAGTGTCAACTTGAGGGATTTGAGCTAATTCTTCCCAAATATCAAAGGAAGATGATGGAGGGCTTATGTGGAGAGAGAGATCAGGAACAATCATTCCTTTCTCTAACATTTTTCTTCTATATATAACAAAACTTCTCCAAAGAAAGATGAAGATCAGACAAGATCTAATAATAACCTTGGAAAAGGTGGGATTTTTTGAAGTGGGTTTCGTTAGGTTTTTATGATGGGATGATGGGTTCTTGGATTTGAGGGAAAAAAAGGAGAAGAGGAAGAAGATGAGAGGAAAAGAGGAAGAAAAGAGAGGGTTTTTGGATGAGAAATGAGTCAGAAAGCAAAGGGAGTTAAGTAAAAGGCTTAAAAAGAGAGTGTTGAGAGTGAGAAAGCTAGTTTTTAGGTAATGAATGAAGGAAAAGGGAACGAATTTTGTGCTCCACAAAACAAAACAAACATCCTTCAAAGTTTCAAGTTTTAGAGAGAAAGAAAGAAAAAAAAAATGGAGAGAGTATGTTTAGGAAAGTGACACTTCAACAAATAGACTGTGTGAAGGTCTCTTTCTTATTTTTCTCTCTCTCTCATGCATTTTTTTAATCCTTCTTAGTCTTTGTAGGAGGGAAAATTCCCCCCTTTTTGCAAACTCTTTGCATTTTGACTGCCTAGAGAGAGAGACATTGTTCATGGTTTTAAGAGCAAAGAAAACAATTTGGTCCCCTAATGCTGATTTTGCAATATTCTCTTCTAAATTCTAGTGATTTTTCCAATAATTTTATAAGGATTCCTTTAGTTGAGACCCATTTGATAGAAACTTTTCCACATTGGTGAGAAAGATTTACTCTTGTCTTTTTCTTTGATTATGTACTTTTTGGCTAAATTTTATTTGCATGTTTACAAGGATGGATGGATTGGAGCATGACAAAATCTATTTTATTATGATTCTAGTTATGGGTATGTTTTCTTGAATTAAATCGTCCGTCTTCTTCTCGTCCTATTGTCAGTTGCTTTACACATTCCATAATTTTCAGACGGTCCTATATTTTTCTTTGTGTATTGTCTATTTCACTGATCCATTCTCCTTTCATTTCTTTACCTCTATCGATATATTGTTTTCTTCGTTTACAATAGGGGCTTATCTCATGTACTCGTAATATCTCTTTCAAACGCAAAGTCATCTTATCCTCGGACAAAGTTTTTTTAATTTAATCATTATTTGGAAAAAAAAATCTTTAATTGATCAAAAGGGAGAGTTAGATATGGAAGAATGATTCTTTTATACAATGTTATTGTTTTCTTCAGAAATTGAATCACAACTCCAACAAAAAGGTTTCCGATTCTAGATCAACTTTCAAAGGTAGCTCCAATGCCACTTCTTTCTTTCACTTTTGTATGTTATAAGGTTGTACATGAAAAAGAAAATTCCATCATATCGGCCTTTTAAAAAAAAAACAGTTTAAATTTTTAGTTCAGTAACTCGTAAGGATAGGTCTTCGAACTAGAACTTTCGATCTTTTAATTGATTGACAAGAAATTACATAATTAATTGTAATTTGAATTTTGAAACAACCAAAAAAAAGGTTTGGAATTAAATACATTAAAAGTGACAGACGTGAACACTAAACCAAATAAGATAACACTGAAAATGGGATGTTTAGAATTAAGCATATTATGGGAGAATATTTTAGGGAAATAAAAAAGAATGGTGGGTGTAAATTGTAATTGTCAAGAACAATGATTAATGAGTGGACCCATTGACCTGAAATCTAGAGAGAGAGAGAGAGAGAGAGAGAGAGAGAGAGAGAGATTGTTCGGATTCATATGGTTGTGGAAATTTAGAATGAAAAGAAAAGCCCTAATTTTGCTTCTTCTTCTTTTTTTTTTCTAATTCCTAATTTTGTGTTTATTTATTTATTTATTATTATTTTTTTGTAAGTTTGCTTTCTAAATATTCTCTTCAAATCCACACGGGCAACCACTTTGTGAAGAGCATATTTTGGGTTTATTTCAGTTCGCAATATTCCTGTTCTTTTATTCGTTTTTAAAAGGAAAAAAAAATCAGATACTAAGAAAAATATGTCGATATTTATTTCTCATTTTTTGTTATTGAAAAAAGAAATATAATTAAATACATTTAATAACTATAGAATGTTTCTTGTTTTATCAAATTAAAATTTTAGGTGATCGGAATTCAATTTTTACTGTATTCAAATTTGTTGTGTTATATTAATTACGTAAGTTTAAAATGATTAATTTTTTTTAACAAAAAATGTTTCTTTATTTAAGTTATTAAATTACTGAAAGCAGGAAACAAAAAGTTATATTTTTCATTTCCATTTTTCTATATTCTTTTAGAAGATTTCTTGACGATGAGGAAAAAATACATATAAAATACTTAAAACTCCTTTTATATGCACTTAGTTCTATTCATCCACACATTAATCAATTAAAATTTTATTCACTTTTTCTCACTCTCTCTCTCAATTATTGGGTTTATACAACATTTTTCAAGAAAAATTATTTTTTTAGAATAGAAAATGTGAGGATGGAAAATTGAACATCCAACCCATCTTTAGATGAGTATCAGTTAATTTAATTAACGGCTTAGTTAAGTTCATACTTGAAGTTGAACCAATTTATGTATGAGACTCAGTTTCAAGTAATAATTTCCATAATTATGCAATGGGATTAGAGAAAAGATAATATTTTTTGGTAGGGAAAGTCCAAAAGAACATCTTTTTTCACCCATCATTTCATTATAAATCCAAATCATTTCCTTTCTTTCATTCAGGGTCTATGATAGCTTGAAAGAGGAATCTATTTACCTTTAAGGTTTTTTTTTTTTTGGAGAAGAAAAAGACATTAATTAATTAATTTAATAGCTTGTTGTTTTTATGGACTGTAAAGATTTGCAGAGCTTCTGTAATCCATGAGACTGATCTAGAAAGAAACAAACAAAAAGAAGACTCCATTTTGAGGGAAATTAAAGCAAAGAGCTTGTTAGTAAAGAGAATATACCATGTCTACTTTACTTGGAATTCAAAAAGATAACAATGATTTATATCAAAAAGAAAAACTTTGATAATTTCCATCTCTCGCAGAGAGAGGGAAAAAAAAGGAATTAAATTATCGATACTTTACCGATGGATTTAAATACTATTTTGATTATTGTACTTTTTACTTTAGTCCATTTTTATCTATGCAATTTTAAAACGTTTATTTTTTATATATCTATGTACTTTCAATTTTATTCATTTTAGTCACTCAGTACTTTATAACGTCTGTTTTTATCCCTGAACTTTTTAAAAAGGATTGATTTGATCCTTATTCCCAAAATTTTGACTGAAATTTACACACAATATAGAAATCCTTCAAAACTAGTATTTAAATCTTACCAAGAGAAAAGAAAGAAATAAAAAAAATGAATGAACCAAAACAATCCCCTTTTAAAAATAGGAATCAAAATGGACAAACATACCAAAATGAATCAAAACAGGATGTGGATGGTGGAGCTAACAGGGGTCGAAGAAGTTAATGCCTGATGGGCAAAGTGGGAAGGAATGGAAAATATCCAAATTCCATTATTAAAATATATATATATATATATATATATATAAGAAATGGGATGGGGTGAGTGAGCAATAAAATAAAGGGCACATAAATCATAAATGAAGAAGAAAGAAAGATTGGGTGTAAATTTCGAGGAGATGGGAATTGGATCATAAATGAGTTCGAGAAATGATTTTGCAATCGATTGCTTTATGATTGAGAGAAAAAGAAACAACACCCATTTTTCATTTTTCATTTTTCATTTTTCAACAATTCCAACATATATATATATATATATATATATATATATATATATATATATATATATATGCTTTATGCTTTAAGCTTTTGACTCAAACAAAGCAACTAAAAATCTAGGCCACTGTGTTTTGCTTTTGGGTGCCTTTTGCTTTGCCTTTATTTCGGATCCTCTCTTTTTCTTCATATCCCAATACAAAAGGGAATTTCATTCACTTTTCTTCCTTTTTTTTTTTTTAAATTCTATTTGGAATTGGAACCCTCTTCTTCTCATATTAAATATACGAAAAAGAAAGACATCACCATGAATTATAGGAGAGAGACAAGTAAATTATTGGTCCTTTTCCTACATGTACTTCTAAAAATTACCTAAATTACTAAAATACCCTTAAACTTTGACGTTTCAAAACAGAGTCAAAGTTTTGTGCACAAGTCGAGGCAAACCCTAATAGAGAGAGAGAGAGAGAGAGAGAGAGAGTTGTTGTGTTGTGTGAAGAAAGGAAAGAGCTTTCACATCATGAAGAGAAGTGATTGGTGTGAGGCTGTGGATCAGAGAAGTCAGATTTTGTTGACTTTTTTTGTGATTATTTCGAAACCCAAATTTTCCCAAATCGTACTTCAAAACTGCGACTGTGAGAATGTTTCTTTCTCTCTATACAAATATTTTTCTTTCTTTTTTCAGCCAACTCGCCATCCCTCTTCTTGTACCATTTTCCATCTCATAACCTTACAAGTTTGGGATAAAATAATTCTGCTAAAATGCCAATAAGTAATGTAAAGTAGAATTTATTTGCAGATTAGTCACCAACTTTGACCGTCGTATTCTATTCTCCCCTGTCAACAAGAAAACAGGTACTTCTGGATGTGAAATTAGCCACAGAAATGGGTGAATTTTCTCCATCACTAGACATGACAATGTCCCTCTACAAATATCTTAACCCCGTGACTCCCTAATTAATTACTTCTGATGGAGCATGGGTTTTTGGGTTGTAGAAAAATGTTGTGTTCCAAATCCCAATGAAGTGGACAGAAGATGAAGATAATGAAATGGATCAAAGCGTTCTATTCAGAGAAAAAGGAAGAAATTTTAAACAAATCCTATTACATATGTTGTGAAAATTCCTGTAAGGCCTAAACTGAAACTCTCTCCCCCTACATTTCTATCTCCATGTTATTCAGACATAGGTGATAATATATACAGCATAACCCGCGCAGATTAATACAACATACTTGTGGCAGGAATGGCATTAACTTAGAGAACAACAAAATGGTACCTTGAATCCACGTAGCTTTCGACGTCCCAGAGGAAAGAGCCAAAAGTGACTGCTTCCAGTACCAATCCCTTCAGACCGCCAAAGCTGATTTTCAATAGTTCATCTTTGGAAGAATCGATGGTTCCCTGAGGTGTTATAGCGATCTCGGGTCTACCAAACAGTGCTTCTGTGTGCTTCTCGATGATGCCAACTGCCTCTTTGGATCTTATGGTTGCATATCTCTGAAGTGTCTCCCCATCAAAGGCCATGACATAGTTGCGCAATCTAGAAGGTTTTATACCTTGACCAAATCCCCCGAGGCCGTTCCCATCAGGCCAGGAAGAGATTTCAGGATGTGGCGGAACGGGTGGTGAGTTCTCTCCAATATGGGGTCTCACGTCCTCTCCAACAGCTTGATGAATTATACCCTCTTCTGTATTCAATGCTTTTGGAAGAACTTTCATAGTCTTCTCCAGCTGAAACCTCTGGTCGACTCGCTTAAGAAAGTAGCCATACATCACTGAAGCTGCATAGACCTGGCCAACTCTGAGTTTGCTTATTTGTGCTACTGAGGTTGAGTCACCAACCCTGTTCCCAAGGATGAGAGAAAGGTGGTTCTGGATCATTTCATATGCTTCAGGTGAGTGAAGATGCTCGAGGCTCTCATCATGAGCAGCCCAAGTGTCAACTCGACCAGAAACATCAGAAGATAAAGGGGTTATTGCAGGTATCAGGGGAACATTAGCATCCATGAATTTCTGTACGACCAAAGCATATAGGATTTCTTCTAAAACCTTTTTCCTTTCATTTGCCTTGACCTCAGCAATTCTCCTGATGATTTCAGAAGCAATTGAAAATATTAATACAGCACCCTCAACTCAAGCTACTTGGTTGATCTAGTGTCATGTTTAGCAAAAACAAAAGTGTAAACCCCAGAAGAAACCTTTTCGTATTTATGCACTACTCTCATTTCGAAGACAATTAAGAACTAACCACTTATTTCTAGGAGCATCAGAATGATATATTGTGCAACCTAAAAAGCATATGTAGCATTTTCCCATTCTATTAGTGCCCAATAGGTAGGCATTATTCAGTTGTATCCTCTCAATACCTCAAGAACCTTTGAAACCCCTACATTCAATAAACCAGGACCCAGAAATTTTATAATTTCATGTTTCCATGTCATTCTCCTCTATCTGATAATAAACAAAAACATTCACTGGAGAAGTATCCACGCCATTCTCATATGCATCAATAATATAATTAGCGAAAGGTATAAAAACTCACCTGTACAATACTAGATCAGTACCAGAACCAGAAGCCTCCTTGTTCCCCTCAGCATCACGGTCGATTTGAAGCTGGTCAAGTTGCTGCTCAACAGCAGCAGGGACTAGATGAGGATGGCTAACCAAGATCTGGGTCAAAAACTGTCCAATTGGAGACTCCAACTGAAGGGGCGCAATTGGATCGTCTGATTCAGATGACTCCGCATCCATGGATGCTTTAACTGCCATGCTTTTCCTAATTCCAGAGCCCAATTTCTTATTGCAGAGTTTTGAGTAAGAAACCTGAGGGCATAGTTGCCACAACCGATTAAATAAAAATCTTCTCAAAATTCTATCCATGAATGATAATGTTTTCCCCTCATCACTACCGATTGAGACTGACAAAAGTATAAATGAAAATGCATGCGCATGAATTTGACATACAAATTTATCGTAGATGTTTAAAACATGAAAACTTAATTTTGCAGGGCATAGAGTTAAAATTTAGTGCAAAGAAAACTCCCACATCACGTCACTGATTTACTAGCAATATAAATCATCCAAAAGCTCTCTTAATTGAACAAACCAATCACCATTAAGACCCCAAATAAACAAGTCCAATAACAAAATTGCAAACATAGCAAAACCGAAGCAACAAGACCAATCCGTTTCAGAAATTAAACATCAAATTGCAAGTTCCAAATCAATCAAGCAAAAATAGGAGGAAGAAATCCGGGGAAGCTACAAAGAAAACATTCTTACACGAATAGGGACATGAGACAGAGACGGAAGGCGCACAAAACCACGTCCGTTGCCAAAGACTTCCGATCTGCCGGTAGAGTTTAGGCGTGCAAAAGCTCCAGCGGGAGATCCAATCACACTTGCCATGGCAGCTTCCATGCGAGCCCTGCAAACATTAAGAAGTCTCAAGAGAACTGAAAACAAAAAGCCACAAATAAATGCCAAAAATAGAGAATATAATCGAGTGTGCGGAATTTTACCGATTCAAAGAAGACGATAGAGAGAAGAGGCGAAACCCTAAAAAATGGTGGTCGTCGCCGCCGCCGGTGGGATCGTTTCGGAGAGAAGAAATGGTGGAACCAAATAGCGCGTGCGCCAGCTGAACTCGAGTCCAACAACAACWACTGCCTCGTTCCACCAAGGCTGTATTTTATATTATAAATTATAATGTAATTAAATATAATATATGATGATTCACGGTCGATAATTTTAAATTATCAGTCACTTTAATTGAGATATATATATATATATATATATATATATATATATATTTGATGCATTTTATAAAGTTACACATTTATCGTTCTCAACTTATTACAAGATTAGATAGATTCTTTCGGATCATGTAATTTCGCTGACAGGATAGGATAGGAATGCGTTCTCTCTTTTTAAAACCATGTTTTTAATTTGGTTTATAAATTTATAATTATTAAAATTCATTAGCTTCTTCTTTTTCCTTTTTTGGTTTGAGCCTTGCAAGTGGATTTCAAATCTTTACTTTAGAGAAATTTTATAGAAGTTAAATTATGATGACTTTTTTTTTTTTAAATGTGGAAAGAAACTACCATTCGATCAGAAAGGGGGTTTGGGTTGGGCGATGTGAAATTGGGATAGTGTTATTATCTTGGCCGGCAACTAGTTCGTCAATGGGCGAAAAAGTGTGAAGATGTTGGAGGCCATGGGCATCTTGGAGGGCTTACAGAATTTGCTTGGTCGGGTGGCCTATCTGATCCTAGTAGATCTGATTCGGTTGAAGTGGTGAAGTTGCTTTGTAGGAAAGAAGATGATCTTACTAACGTAATCGTTGGGAGTTCGATATCTCAAAATGATTGACTATCTTAGTCTCTCAAGATTGTTCTCATGTTTCTTAATGAAGTTTTTTATCCAAAAAAAAAACCACAACTCGATTTTAACCTAAAAGGGGAGGAGATCTATGGCTTCTTTAATGTAGCCATTGTTGATTTTTGTAAGGTCCAAATCAGCTTATTTAAGACATGAATTCGAGCAAGTCTAATTTCAAAATGTTGTTTCCGCAATTTCACCCCTTGAAAATTTTGAATTATCTATCTCAAACTCTGTTGATATTTAACCATGAAAAATGAAATTTGTGTCAAATTTAAGTTGCCTTAAATTTACCTACAATTTTTATATCATGTCGAAAACCAAAGTTCTAAAAAATGAAGAAAAGAAAATTCTTCTGAGTCTCATTTCGGAATAATATTTTTCAAATTTTCCAACAATCATTCTTAAACCGTCCATGGATGACTATTTAATAAAAGAAAAAAACATTTGTCACTTTATCTTCCTATTTGATTATTCCAACACGTTTGACTCAAAATTCCCTCCAAATCAATTTACATGGAAGCACTCCACGTTTCCACTAACAAAAAGTCAACAAAATTTATAGTTCCATTGATCGAAGAGCACGTGTCAATAAGTTTGATTGATTCATTGTTCAATCAAATTTTAGTCGAATTGCCAAACCAAGCATAGCTCAAATGGTTAAGGCACCTATCTCTGACCAGAAGGTCATGAGTTCGAACCCCCACCCCCACAATGTTGTACTCAAAAAAAAAAATTTAGTCGAATTATTGGACGGATTACGAAACCACAGTTTTATGTTTCCATAACAATGTATGTGTAATGTCAATTTTATTCATGCCAATTCAACTAGATAAAGCATATATTATCGATTAAAATATCGAAAGTTCAAATCTCTCGTTCCATCGGTTGAACTGAAAAAAATCTACTTACATCCAACTCAAGCCATAAAATAGCCTAAAGCAGGGCAATTTAAGACCATGAACCAACCTGGTAGTAAAGAATAGGAGATTCTAGTTTTCATAAAGCACACACCAGCGACGAGATCCTTTATTTCATGCAATGATGTCCAAACTTAAGATTGTCTTTTTCTCACTATTCCAACAGTCACTGTATGATGAGGTGCAGAATCGTTTCTTCATCATTTTCAATAGTAGTAAAACGCAGAAAAAGAGTTTCATAGATAACTTCATATTTGACCAAAGCTAAAACAACAAAATTATGGTTCTAATAAAGTTGTACTTCTCATACAGGTACAAAAGAAAGATTCTGAGTATTGAGAACACACAGCCGTGACGAAAAAACCATTACCACTTATAACAGGATTTCACATTTCCTGCAATCTTATCTACTGATCTTTGTATCTCTTTTCTACGTCCTCCAAGCTTTCGATGTCTTTGTGATACTTGCAAATGCGATAGATACACCTGCATGCATATAAAAAAAGGCAGCTTGGAAGTAAGAAGCTGACACAAGACAAAACTACCGACGAAAACAAATTTCTTATAATGCCAACATACCAGTAAAGAAGGCATGCAGAAACACATAGTATCACGTTCCTCTGAGCTTTATAGATCTGAATAATAGACATCCTTTGGTAAGGGTTGAGACCTTGTAAAGAAGATAAAAGAATAGCATAGAGGAACGCAATTCTGTTTGTCCATCCCAGATAAAAGGCATAAAGATGCAGTCTCAAAATTTTGAAATCACTACAAGATAACAACCACATTTCTAATAGGCATTGGTAGTTTTGCATAGGTGGATTTATGTTTTTAATTTTTGAAAAGAAGTGAGGGTGTTTATTCTAATATGAATAACACAATCAAATTTTGCATTCTCCCCATTTTTCCCTGCTACGTAGAGAGTTTCCCTTCTCCCCCTTTGTTTCTGATATTCTTCCTGAGTGGTGGGTTTTTTTAAGATTCCAGTGTGGGAGAACCTATCTGTTATAGATTGAATGAATATGGGAGACAAACAAAACGTATGTATTGTGGATTTTTTCAAATTTTTTTAACCGTTACAATTTTCTTTTAGATTGCATATGATATAAGACAGAGCAAACGTACCTGTGTGAGAGTTTTTTTAGGCAGAGGACAGAGAGAAACCTATTTATATTGTGAGGATTTCATGTTGCAGAGTGATAGGAGAGAGAGGAAAGATGAAAAAGATTGTTTTTGCATGTTGTATTGTTGTGGGTTGTGATTCTTCTTCTTTTAGAGATTACAGGGAGAGAATACTTCACTGTTTTTTTTTTTATAAGTGGAGAGAATACTTCACTTAAAATAAGTTTTCACACCTCATCCTAAAACTGCCGCACATTCCTAGTTAGTTTCACAGCTAGGGTAACATTTCAATACGTTTTGGAAAGTACATGTGCCAATATACCCATGATAATTGATAATATACTAATAATAAAGTTTCACATTGGCTCCTTATTCCGTTCTATCTTAACTAATTATTCACAACCATTCATTTATAACTTTACCTCATTCTTTCGAAACGCCCCCACCCCACAACACTCCCCCTTCTTATTTGACATGCAAATATCTGGCACCCACTTTGTTGTTCACCAAGTCCTAACCACTACCTAATCAGCCAGTCTTCAAAGTTTCCTACTCAGTCTCAGTCAAAATGAGACATTTGGTTTTCTAATGATTTGGGCTTTAACTACTCAATCTTGCTTGTATGAGAAGGAATGTACATGATTAAGATCATGATCAAGCACAGTAGAAACACTTCTCCTATGAGTAGGATCAATAATAGACCTCCTTGATACCGAATAGGAGAATGGGACATGGGGTAGCAACAGGGATAGGTAAGGGGAAAATAGAAGCTGATTGGTAAAAATTTAGGACTGATTACTTCTCGATGTCATACTAAAGACAACAATATGAAACAATATTGAGAAGATAACCAGAGTTCCCGACTATCCATTGTCAGGGTACGATGGCCCATTACACACTTTCCTTTGCACGTTGGGAAGGTAGGTAAGAAGGTAGGAGGTGATATACGTCTACCATCCCATCCAAGCAGTAGTTTCAGAGGCGATTATCCTAATTATTCCTAGGTAAGTAACTTCCCTTTATCGTTTCTAAAGCTCAATACCTTTCTAATTTGAAGGGTTTAAGTATATCTGTTTCGTAGTTACTAGATCCATTTTCTTATCCTTCAATACTCTAACAATTGCTAACATTAACAAAATAAAACAGTCTGATCATATAATCGATGGCTTCTGAACAATCTTATGCATTATTGAGAACTAGATAATTAACACTACACATTAGAAACTCTACTCGACATTTGTACTTACAGATTTCTCATATCGATCTCTTTCAGCAGCGGTACAGATCTCAGAAGTGCACATCAACCGATGCTCATTCTTCCAGTAGATATCTACACAGTACGACAAGAAAACCCAAAACGAAAGAAAAATAATCAAGGTCCGATCTCAGGTCCCAGTCGAGATTTGCAAAATACCGGTTACCAAAATCAAAATTGAAGAAAAATGAAGTGTAAATGAGAGAATATATGGAAAAACCTAGAATCTGAAAGCCCGCGAAGGGCACAACGAAGAGTGCAGGTTGTAGAATGAGTGAAATCAAAGAGACAAATCGTTTCTTCAGTAGCTTCGGTGAAGGAAGCGTCAGAAAAATGGCGATGGCAGCCTCCACTGCCACCGTATAAGCCAATAGCATCCACTGCAACGCCATTTTCGATCAAATGCCCTAACGCCCACCGAATTCTTCTGCTCCTCTTTGTCTTCGACGCCCTCTCTCTCTCTCTCTCTCTCTCCTCTCGCTCCAAATTTCTTTTTCTTTTTCGTTTTCTTTTTCTTTTCTTAATAAACAAGAAAGAAATATAATTAAAAATTCCATGCTTCGCTTCTATGGCATTTATCGAATTGATGCTCTAATAGTCGTCTGATCTTCAAAATAATGCACGTGGCGCACTGATGCAAACCCTGATTTGCTCCGCATCTTACATTACGTGATTCTATTTGCCCATCTCCTCTTCAGGATCCGAATTTTCAACCGTCGGATCCAAATAATGATAATTAAATTGATTATATATTTGCACGTGAATATTCTATTATATGAGTTTAAGAGTCAACTCAATTATAAGGTTTTGTTTGGAAAAATTATATATTGTTTCCATTTTTTGTTTTTTTAAATTGTTCTTTAAGAATGACAACATTAATGGGAATTAATTTTAGTGAAGTTACTATTTATATTCATGAATATGGAAGTAAAATAACTTCATTTATTTTTAAATTATAAATAAATAAATTATCTGTAAAATAGATTAAAAGAAAATTAACTATTGAATAACAATTATCCAAACACATTCTCAAAGTAAAAAATTATTAAAAGCAGTTCATAAAAAAATTGTCTTTCTTTAGAAAACAGCTTTTTTTTTATTTTCTCTTGGTTTTAACTTTGGCTGAAATTATTGAATTATTTAACTATATAAGATTTAGGTAGGTATTTGATGTTTAAAAAGAGCCACTTCAAATAAAATAAGGTCAAATAATACTTTTAGTCAATTAATTCCCATTTTATCTAAAAAAAATGACTTTTCATTTTGATAGATCGTTGATCTAAAGTTTTCAAAACATACCAACTATCTACGGTAATTCAAGTCACTTTTTTATTGGTTGTCATTAAACACATGACTAATTGGATTATTTTATTTATTCTGTAGCATAATCAATTTATGTGGCATAAATGTATTCTAAAATATTTCCCCTAATAAAAGTTTAGGTTAAATTATTCATTTTAGTTCGATTTTGACTCAATCTTCATGATTTGGTTGATCCCCTAAAAATGCATTGGTAGATTTACCGAATCATAACCATCTTTTTTACCACCATCATGGGATGATTCAAATGATCAATAAAGCCAATGTAATTAGCAAAAGACTTAGAGGGAATTATGTATAAATCATGAATTTTATTTTATCATGGTATAAGCACGCACATATTACATTTTGATAGCAATTAGTGGTGAAATATGATGGAAATTATGTTTTGTGCAGAAATCATCTACTTAGACACTAGACGTCTCCCCCATTGTTGAAATTGCCCTTTAATGAATAGTCATTTTGAAGTAGTCGTTCCTCCTCCTACGTGTCACTCAGAAGGAAGCTTATTCGACAACTAAATTAGTCAAATGGGTTAGAAAGCATAGGTTGGCTACGAATTCCTCAACCTTCCTATAAATTTCAGCAACTCCTTCATTAATCATCATCCAAGTGATCATTTTGAAAGCATTTCTAAATTTCTTCCTCAGTAAAATATAGTTTCATATTGGTCTTTCCCTTTTCTCGTTGATCTTTACTTGTAACTTGAAACTCCATTTATAAAATTCAAGCATTCTCTATTCTTTTCACCTTGTTTACATATGGTCTCCTTGAGAGAATCTTGCACTCACACTTTTTTTTTTTGGAATAGAACGAGTTTTGACTCCCCTGAACTCGAAAGAGACGGGTAAAATTTATTCAGATTACAAGGTTCTTACTTTTAAAGTTTAACTAGCAAATCCCTCCCTTTTAATTATGTTTCCAAAATTCAACTCAATTCTATTCTATTTTTACCCTCCCAGTATGAGTTAAATTCTGGTTTCCTAACTCGGTTATGGATAATTAGATAAATCTTGTTAAAATTATAGCAGCGGCAAAAGGTTTTTCCCAACTCTTTTATCACTTAAGTTGTTTTTATAAAGTAAAGGAGTTGATTTGGCCAATCGATGATTTAACAAATTCAAATACTGAAATTATTTTCATGATTTAATTGATTTAACTTCGGAGATGAAAACTTTAGACATAAAGTTTCCTTTCGAGTAGCCTACACATGGAACATTGACCAAGGTTATGGTTGGTTTTTATTAAATTAAATTTTATTTTTTAATAGACATATTAGGATTGGATTTAGTACTTCACTTAGACATAAGAAGATTAAGAAGTAGACCCGTCTGGAAAACAGGGAGGCGCCTGGTTATTCATCGATTCATGGTTTTTAGCTAATTTGAAGTAAACGAGCTTATCTTTATTCATTCCATTTTTAAAAAATCGAAACCAACATAACTCACATTTATTTTCATCATAAAATCAATTACATATTCACCGATCACCATTGTTTGAATCAAAAAAACGACTTTAGTCTCTACGAATTGATATTCGAAATACTTGTTCCATTTATTATTTGTGACGGATGTACGTACGCTCTACTTATTTATTTAAATCAGAAATTACAAACATTTTTTGTATTTGATTTTTTAGTTATGAATTCGAATGTACGACCTCATTTGTTGTATAAACTTTGAAGTTACTTTAAATTAAAAATATGCAACTATGAAAATGGATGCTGTAATTTAATCAAAACAATAAATAATATATTTTCCGATTAATTTGAGGATAACGTTTTCAAGACCGGCCTTGACGGCGTTAAGAATAGAATGCAAATGCCTGATTTCGGTGACCGGCCTTGACTGTTGACCGCCTCTCCAACGGTCAAATGCAAGCCACCATTTTAGATCTATCTTCAACAATAATTCTGTTTTTGTCTTAAAAACTATTTTTTTAATATTACGATATAAATATCTATAAAGATCAAAGTACTATTGAGTTAAACTAATCAAAATATTTATAAAGACAAAAAAAAATTATTGAGTCAATTATTTATCTTCTTTTCTTTTTATCATTATTATTTTAAAAATCAAATCCTAATTTTCTATATTACATATTCATATTACGAAAATAAACTCCTATCCTACATCCATGAAAATAACGCATTTAATTTCATCATTTTTCAGATGAATAGTCACGCACATAACTTACCATAGAAATTTATATATACCTAATCATGAGTAAGGTTAAAATTGATAACGGTTATGTATTACTAATAATTAAAATTRATCAATTGGTTCAATTTTTTTTAAGTATAACACGTTAGGAAGGGGATTCGAACTCACAACCAACCTCTTGATTGGACGTATACGTCAATTATCGTTGAGCTATACTTGTTTTGGCTATTTATTGGTTCAATTTTTTAGTTCTTTCGTTGTCAACTGATCACGTCAAATTTAAGATATTTAAAAATAAAAAAAAAAGGCGAAATTGATGGTGGCACCACAATCATAAATGTGTGTGCTACTACTAGTACTAGTGGGTGTTTTAAGAATGCAGCCAGCCGCCTTGGTTTTGTATGTTTTCTAATTCTTTTAACTAAATTCATGCATTATCCCAACACTTTCCCCCATGTTATTGTTAATCCAACTTCTGCGCATTTATTATTATTTAATGTAACACTAATTTATTTTTTTTTATCGTAACTTTTATGAGTTAGTTTGTCAGATTATTTATTCATTTATTAATTATTTTGATATTTCAATCACTTGGTCTGTTATTACATTAATGATTTATGGATTAGGTGTATTCATGATTTGCAATTCTGTTCTTTCTTTTTTTCTTTTTGCAAAGGAATTCTATTCGTATTTCAACATCAATTAATGAAATCGTTGTTATTCTATTTTTTTATTTTAATATTACACTCGACATGGTAGATGGAGCTAAAGTGAATATAATTAAGCAGTAATTGATACATATCTCCAATTAAGAGGTTGTGAGTTTGAACCTCACTCCCACATGTTGTGCTAAAAAAACTATATACGGTGGATAGAAATTTAAACTGATTACGGAATATTTTACTGATTTGTTAACATTGTTACTAATAAAATCAACAAATGTGAGAGACACACAATTGATGATATAAATGTTCCCGACTTGAAATATAAATATATTTTTTTAATGAAAACTTGCCTTTTTGAGAGGATAAACTCATAAACTAAGACATAATAAGTTCGATTCCATAAACTTAAGTCATATGAATTGAACTTGAAATCAAATACCTAGGTGTATTGGATAAGAAATGAAATCGTAACTAATAAGACTATTATTGTCAATCTTAGCATAGTTTAGTAGTTAAGGATAATTTTATCTTCCCTTACCGGTTGGATGTAAGATTTATTTTCGTAATGGCATCGGATATAGTCCTTTCTATATAGGTAGCCTTTGGTGTATATTCATAATGTTATGTTGGTTGTCTCTCTCTCTTGTTTGTGATGTTATTGGTTGTTCAAATTTCATGTAAGCAATATATGGTAAAAAGTTTTTATTTGATGTGATTATTATTTAGTTGGAGAGGAGTGGGATGGGTAGGGGCAAAAGGGGAAAAGATTCCTCCCCCATAATATATTTGGGGCTGGGGAGGCCAAGTTGTTTGACTTAAAATTGCATATAAATTTAATGATTGAAGCTACCCCCCATACCCATATGCCAAACCCTAACCTAACCATCTTTAAAAATCTAAGCATTTAAAAGAAAAAATTAGAGGAAAAGAAATAAAAATGAGAAAAAAAAAAGAACGTCAATTTTTACTTGTCGGCCCCTCCACCTTCCTCAACTTGGAGAGAGAGCCTCCACTGCGGAAGCAACGCTCCTTGTCTTGCCCGACGCCCACGTCACGTCTTTTTCTTTCACCCCGGGCCCCACCTTATCTCTTATTATTAATATAATTTGCTTCTCTTTTTTTTTTCTTCCCTATCATAATTAAAACCAATTTTTTTATTCTCTTTATTCTACTCGTCATCCCTTCTTTACTTACATATTCACTCACGACGCCACGTATTTGAGTTACATATTTCATCCATTGCGTAAATATTCACTGTATATTAAATCCATCGTGGAATATAATTTAAAATTATAAATTGTCTTACTAACCAACGAAATTAG